AATATAACAAAATCTAAACTGGAAGCGTCATTCACGTTCAGACGGCACTAATAAAGTACCAATCTGTGAGCGCACGTGCGTCATCATTATCACCAGCTTCATCATGATGATGATTTACCAATAGAAAACGCGCTGCGTGTAGCATCGCTTTGGACAAATCAATTATGTGGCACACAAGAATAGTACTGTCTCATTTGAGGTGCCCCACTGCACTATCCTCTTGATTATGCGCCAATGCCGGCATTGCAGTTTCCATGACAATCAATGGTTACTTAATGCCCAGCGAGTGAATGAAACGTACATACCAAAACTTTGACTGTACAAAAAAGGAGCACATAAAAACATAAACAATTTACAATTTACTGTTTACAATCTACAATTTACAGTTTACACTATGCAATATACAGTTGAAAAGTTAAAAGCATGCCAACACCTGTCCACACACACGAATCGCCTCACTTACAATCTGCAAAATGTTGTGGCATTTTACCTGATTTGCTTTACACTCGACACAACATTTTGACAGTTAACGAATTTTGGGTGCAAAAGTTTCGCACATGTTTTAACATTTCCAGAGAATTATGCTACGCAGAGCACACGCAGCTTTTGGCTTTGGTTTCGTATTGGTATAGGGTAAATTAATGCCATGAACCGGGCTGAGCAGCAGTTGACAACAAAATTAAACGAGGCAGCCGTGCGTGCCGTGCGAGGCAAAGGTTAGGAACTGCGTGTTCGCCACCATTTTGTAAGTGGAAAAGTCTCTTGCCAACAACTTTTTAAATTGCCAGCTGTTGGTATTCCAGTTTTTAACTAACATTTTAGACTTTGACAAAGTTATGAACGCTGTTGCTTACGATTCTGTAGTCATTACCATTAGTCAAGTCTGGTCTCCTAGTTCTTGCACAAGTAAGCTTACAATAAGGAAATTTGAACGTTGCCTCAATTAAAATTCAAAACAAATTTAAGATATGGTGCAAAATCCAGTCATTGCACTCCGCATAGAAGATTTTTAGAAACGGACGACCATCTTATTTTACGCTTGTCTACTTTGCATAGTGTTTGCCGATGTCCTTTCTATACTGGTCATTTGACAATTTGAACGTTTACCAATCGGCTGCCAATAAGTGAAATTGAATTACAGTTTTTAAATACATACTTCAATATCTCTGCCGAAGAAGCTACGAAAACTACTATTAGAAAGCACATGCAAAACATGGTTACATGTCCGGCACAGAGACTCTAGATCCAAAAAGCACAAATAGGAAATTAAGTGCTAACCATTTCTGGACATGGCCGTTTGCTGGGTACCAACTCTGTTTTTTTTTGGTCATTGCATTCATTTTCCTTTGCACTACATTCGGATACGGTCTGCGTCTGTCATGTTGATTTGTATTGACTCTTTGCGTACGTACGTATGTATTGGTGTGTGTGCACGTGTTTCTGTGGCTGCAATGCTGTTGGCATTTACGTTGGTTTCGGCATAAAGTTGAACAATGCCATTAACTGCGTTTGTGCTGCGAATGTTGACAGTCAGATGTGTGAGACACAGAATATTGTTAATCCCATTGATTTGTGTTAATGATTGTCATTGACACTGTTGACCAAATAGCTGCGACTATACTTGGCTCTTGTCGCCCCTCTTCTCTCAGGCCAACAAATTCGTTTTCGGGGTTTGTTTAAATTTCCTGCAAACGAGCGATTGCAAACCCAAGGACAAGCAACACTAGTCCAACTTGAGCTCTCAAGTGGACTTTGAGGTAAATTGTCGCATCAATTCTGTGTACTCGTGTGTGTGTTTGCCTTTGCCTTGCTCCTTCGTGTATTGATATTTCACAAGAAATCAACACACAAAATACAAATAGTAAAGCACACATACTATTTCAAGTCTCTCACTCCTCCAACTTTGTCACCATTTGCAGCGGAAATGAAAAATCAAATCGAAGAAAGGCACAGGAAATTCAGCTCTTCGTATTTCACTTGACGTATGTATGTGCCTGTGTGTGTGTGTGTGTGTGTGTATTGGTATGTGCTGTCTTCTGTGTGACTGTTCTGTTTAAATTTAGCCAATGTCTAGCGTTTCTAGAGTGCTCTCCACTCTCGACTATTTATCTCTCTTTGGTTCATGTGTGTGTTTACCTACTCAGCCCTGTCATAGACATAAAATCGCATTTTTATTGTTTCTTCCTATATTGTTTGGATACACTTGCTGAGCATTGAACTGCCTAAACTTAAGTAACAATTTCGTTACGTCAAAATAAAATCTCCTTCAATACTTTAAGCTGTAATGAGGTTGAAAAGTGGCTCATATACAATTTTAAGGCATTGTTTAAACGTTCTTTTAAATTGTTAACATGTTCTTTTTTATTAATTTTAATTTGTGTACAAAATATATAAGCAAACTATTATATTTAAAGTGAGAGTATGCCAAATTCAGTATATTATAGTTACAATTTTTCTTGGTTTACTCTTGGCATTTGTCTACGCTTGAGACGGTTTTATCGTCTTGGCCATAAGCCTAAACAAATACAAACAATTTTGTCTCGATACAAAAAACTTAAAAAATATATGGCAAAACAGACTGCAATGGAAATGGCAAGATGCCGGAAAATAATCAATTGATTCAGATTACTGCAGTTGAAGAATAAGAGGAAGATGTCGCCCAATCTAAATGCGATGTGCTATACTACTAAGATTTTGCAAAGTTACACTAATTTATTGAAATCATTTACCGCAAATCAGACAGTTGTCGCTCTGTGGAAAAGGAAACTAATTAAATGATGAATGCGTCTGACAGAAGCTCAGAGAGTTGTTTTCATTGATTAGCTCCAGCCATACTACACCCACATACCTGATGCTGTCTGCACACACACATCTGCTGGGAGGAACACATCTAAGGCAGCTGCAACGATTCTCACAGGTCTGATTGAACAATGAATGATTTAATTAATAAATAAATAAGTGCGTGCGTGTCGCAGCAGCAGTCGAGTAATTGCAGATGCAAAATACATTACACAAGTGTGACAAACAATTAATTATTGAGTCCCGATTGTCTTCAGCTGAAACTACAGTTTCATCTTGCGACTGCGGCCAACGTGTTTGAGACACTTAATGACAATTATGCTGCGACATTTGCCATTTGTCATTCTATGTTTGTCGTTTTGCTATTTGATGTCGTGTTTAAATGGACAAAGTCAGTTTGCACAATAAATGAAATGTGGATGCTGCTCAATTTCCATCAGATAATAGTTGCCGGAAGTGGCGGATAGTGAGTTGCGTACCCAATTGTTAAAAGAACTAGCTGAAGGGTGATTGGAGAATTAAATTATTTTTTGTTGCTAATACATTGCAAATTTGTGAAAAGGTTGAGAAACATGAAATTAAATTACCATATCGTTTGGCATCAGACAAATTGCGACGAGGCTTATTTGAAAACCCCGAAAACGATTGCAAAGTAAATTCTATGCAATTTGCTTGCTATTGTATCACATTCAGAACATTTCAACTAAATTTCATATTTATTGCGGTTCAGCTTCTGGCCCAACTCAAATTCGAATCCTTGTGTGAGCCATTTAATATTTTGAAGTGGGGGCCAACCACAAACTAGTTTCCTTCGAATCTGCACAACGCGCTGAATATGCTGGCGGAAGTGGTAGTGGTTCGAAATGTGGTCTGGGTTTGCGTTTCGTATGCGGGACAACCGCAGCAGCACATAGAAACTTTCACAATCGAAAATGATAGCTTTGGGCGCGCCAAAGAAAATTTGCCAGTGAGATGCAACTGCTCCAGCTCACTTGACTCACTTCCAGTGTCAATTTAAAATTGTTTCATTTTGTTCACGTCTAAGCTGCATAAGCACAATATACACCGACATTTTACGGATATCCGGTCGTCTTCTGTTCTGTCGCGCAGCATATTTGTGTGGCATACCTTGAGGCACTTCATTAAAACGCAATTAGTGCCGATTTGAATATTGATGCCGCATACGAAATACAGCTCTATTGATATTCTAATACTGCTTCTTAGAGCTTAAAAGTTCTTAGGTCTTTCCCTAAGGCATTTTCACAATTCAATAATAATTCGAAATTTCTAACAGGACTTTTTACACATTCTGCGTAAGACAATCGAGTTGAAAAAGCGCTCATTATTCAGAGACTCTTTGTTTTTTCAAATCAATTAATTTGAACCATAAACGAATTACACTTAAACGGATTAATCAGTCGTAAAATCTGTTCATTTGCACCAACCAAGTGCATGAACAAACGCATGATTGAGTGCATCGGCCTTTGTGTGTGTGTGTGTGTGTGTGTGTGTGTGTGTGTGTGTGTCATAGTATGAGTCCGTGTGTGACATTAAAAGGTGTGCCAAATGAAATTGAAATATAAATTCAAATCCATTGGGCACATAAGCGGCGCAATCAGGCGCAAAATATGCGCGAAGCGCGAAGCGACGCGTAACTGCAGCCGACTATACGTAATGGCATGGGGTAGTAGTCACCCCTGTCAACTTAAATGTGTAGACATCTGTTAAGAGCGACAGGTGAATACACAGCAGTTAAGCAAACAAAGGCCACTCAGGCCAAAAGGGCGGTCGGTCTCGCATTTGATTCGGTATTAAGAGAGAGAAAACAAAATGGCGCACAGGCTGCAACTGAGCAACTAAGACGGCATTGGGTGCCAAAGACCAGGGACCCGACCCTTTGTTATTGACTTACTGTAGTGACATGCAAATAATAATGCAGCAGCAGCAGCAGCAGCAGCAGCTATGCAAATATTTTGTAGTCGACGCAAAAATTGGCAGCAATGCAAGCCGACAGGCAAAAACAATTTCAGTAGCTGCATAACAAAAATACCCATAACATACAGTCACACGACGCAAATTCGTATTCTGTTAAATTAGAGATATTAAAATTAATTTATATAGATTTTATAATTTGAATTAAATAAACATAAACACAAGCTGACACTCAAAAGGAAGTATATTTAGTAAACAACGTAAGCATCTCTATTTTACTTACTGAAAAACTACGAATATTTTTTTTCTATTATTCGGAAACATTTCAGTTGGTCTGATTTCTTTTTATCCTATCAATATGGCGTCTGGGGGTACCATTATTCCGCCTCCAAGTCTGAGTCAAATTTTCTTTGCGCGAAACATTTTTCGTGCCCTTAACGAGGAGGAGGAGATAAGGGCCAACAATTTAATCATATCACCAACAGCTGCGCGCAGTGCCATGACTTTGGTGTTTATGGGTGCCGGCGGAAAATGCGCAGACGAATTGCGTTCTGGACTGATACTGGGACACGCAAAGAAACTGGAAATTGCCAAGCAACATGCCGAGTTCATAAGCAACGATTGCGTATGCAACGATAAGGGAGTGTCGATGCGCATAGCTACTGGTCTGTATGTTAAGCAGGATCAGGAACTATGTCCCGACTTCAATCTGCAGGCTGGGGAATTCTTCAATACTCAGGCAGATACGTTGAATTTTGCAGATGCCGAAGGTGCTATGCGCCAAGTCAATAAATGGCTCGAGCGGCAAACCTTTAATACGGTACGCGATTTGCTTACTCCTGCCTCTTTCAATGTGGAATCAAACGTTATTTTGGTAAACTCTTTGTACTTTCGTGCCAAGTGGGCGAAACAATTTTCTGTAGCACACACTTCGTTGGCTGATTTCGCGATAAGCGAAGAACAGAAAATGCAGTTACCAATGATGCGACAGGTAAGTCTGTCTCACACCAGTAATGCTTCATTCCACGAATATCATCTCTTATATGATATAAATGAATTTCAACTCTGAACTAATTTGGATTTATTTGCGTATTCAGGCCGGACAGTTTCGCTATGGCGAATCCAGGAAGCTAAAATCGCGTATTCTGCAGCTGCCCTTTGAAGAATCAGATATAAACATGTTATTGATTGTTCCTGACAAGAATATGGGTCTTGCAGAGCTGGAATCAAAGCTAGGAGAGATTGACCTGAACGAAGTGGCCCTCAAGACGGTGATGCATGAAGTTGATATAACCGTGCCCAGATTCAAATTCGAGTGCGATATTGATCTGAAAGTGCCGCTAAGAAAAGTAAGTCCAGTTCATATCTTGATTGAACAGTTTAATATTCATATATATAAACCGTATCAGTTGGGAGTTAAGCGTATTTTTGAGAAAGGGGCCGCTGACTTGAGTGGACTGTTTGCCAAGAAGTCGCCCCAGTTGATTACTGAGGCAAGGCAAAAACAATATTTGAATGTGAACGAAGCTGGCTGTGACATAGATGCTAACACATGTAAGCAGAACTTTGATTATTGGGGAGGATCAAGTTTCCATAATTTTCCTTTTAGCTGCCAAGACCTCTTCTGAACTCTCCAATCCGGAGCGAAAAGTTTTTACAGCGGATCATCCGTTCGTGTTTGCCATACGAAATAGCAAATCAGTTTTTATTGTGGGTCATTTTGTCAGGCCCTGAGTACCCCAGAAGACAGTGGGTGGCGCGTTATATACAATGAATCCATTAAATATCCATGAAAGCAATTACAAATTTTTTTACAAGTGTCGCTATCAATGACCGCATCGCTAGCGGGGGCTGGCTGGACAATTGCAACAAATGACGATATCCCATGAACAACAAATTATTACCGCATAAATGTACACAATGCTCAGCCCACAGACAGCAACTATGACGAACAAACACATACAAAAACATACGATAATAGGGTAAAGCCGGAGACGATCAACTATAAAATTCTTTGTCAAAAGTGCTACGAAAGTTTTTTTAATTTGGCTAGCTCAATTACTTTTTGTTTTCTGTATTTTCATTTATTTCCAATTTGAATAAAAAAAATCGTAATTAAAATACCCTTAACCGCTGTAGCGTGAAGGGTATAAAGAAAACTACAACAAAACTATTTTCACAACTGGCGGGCAATAAATGCAAGAAAACAAATAAGAAAATGGCAAATGAATGCAATAAAGTGAGTCCTGGGAGAGTGAATGGAGGAGTTATGGCAAGAGGTGCCGCTTCGACAGATCATTGAGAATTGCGCTGATATGAAAAGAGCCAACTCTGACTGGGGGAGCATATGGACGAGGAGGCTGGGAAACCAAATGAAAAGTTAAAAGCAGAAAAAGGAGAATGACTCCATGCCATTTCTTATGGCAAATGCTATACAACTTGTTAGCCAATTTTAAATACAACTGCTGCGACTGACAGTAATCAAGATTGTATGGCGACGGTGGCGGTGGCTACAACAATGCTAAATGCCATTCGGAGGGGGACAACAATTGAAAAATAAGTAATTTTCCAACTGTTGTGAACTATGTACGCAGAACCCCAACACCCCAACACAGCAGCTGAGACAAGCACAAAACAGGAGCTGGGCTCCTAGCCTGAAATCGGAGTCGAAGTCCGCGCTCGAGTTCGCGTCCGTGTCCGCGTCCGCGTCCGGTTGCAAACTTTGCCGTCCAATTCATCGATGATTGTCGTGGACTACCGTATGCCATTGGCATTGCTATTCAGAGCGTCTGCCATTGATGGCCACTGCCCGGGTATTGTGGCAAATGTTTATCTTTCGGTTTGGTTTGTGTTTGGGTTTGCGCTGCGCTGCGCATCTTTCTTGATTTTACTTATGCCTCTAGGCCGCTGGCAGCGTCATCAAAACGGATGTGCAGCTGCACAAACTTTGTTCCGCCGGGGCGGCGCAGTAAAGGGACCGAAAATTGTGCTCCGTCCCGGACAGTTGTGTAATTTGGAAATGCTAATGTAATGTCGCAATAATGAAATTACTGAATTTGTTGCTACAAAATAGTATCGGCTAAAAAAAAAATGAAATGAAATGAAACTTGAAATAAAGGCAAGCGCTCGCCGCTCAAAATATTAAAGTGATGAAAGTAAATAGTTCATGAATACGTGTAACATTCTAAATGGATTTAAAACATTTCTCTTATTAATTATATATTTGGAATAAATTGTCGCACATATTGTGTTGTATGTCCTACTCTACGGGCTGTGTTCAAATATTTAGTCGGAATGCAAATTAATCAGTCCAATAAACAATTTGAATGTTATACTACATAGCAATTGTTTTGCTTTGGTTTTTGTTTTGGCATTATGCATATGAACATTTTAGAGGCCACAACATAGCTAGATAGCAAGTAATTTTCGATAGCAACTCAATAAATCAAGAACTGGTGCCCGAAAATGTAATTGAAAACCAATCAAACGCATCCACATGCAACAGCGAGCGCCAAATGCCGGCGGTCACAAAATGTATTAAACATCTTCATTTGATCGCATACCAAACAACAAGAGGCCATAGGGGGATGTTACGCACCTAGTATATATACATATATCTCTATAAATAGCACATGCATATGCATACAAACAATTGTTTCATAAATTGCATAAACAATCCAGCTTTAAAAAGGCAGCATGAGCATTGCATAATCGCCACCCATCCACAAACACTTGACCATCAAATCCGATTTGCTGATTTGCTTTTATGAGTTGATATGCGCTTGTGTGCGTAGACATATAAATAGATATGTATATTTGTATATACGGTACATACGTTTAGCATGAAGTCCTGCTAGAGTCCTGCAGAACTCCGACTTAATTCCTTTTGCAGATCTTCATTTCATAAATGGTCAGAGGCATTATTAGCTGAATGTTATGTGTGTTTGTTTATGCGACTATATAGTTTATAGGTATAAATGTGTATGCTACTTGTATTTCATTTGAACGTGTGCGGGATGGAATTTGGAATAAAGCCAATGAGGAAAGCTATTGAGATCCATTTAAGTAATACAAGCTTGATTCGTTGAAGAGATGGTACTATTTTATTAAAATACTAATACTAACCTCATATATTGTTTGTGTCTTTATTTTCATTTTAAATAGAATATAGTTTAATAACAGAATAAAATGTTGCATTTTGCAAACAGTAAGAATTTAATAAATTTCTTCTTTAGCATTTCAGCCTTGGCTTATTGAAATTTACTTTCCCCTAAATGCTTACAATTCTAGGCATACGTGCACCGCATTGCAACGAAATGCATTATCTGGGAAATTATTCATGAATTTTGAGAGCCTCTGCTGTCTGTTGGCCCTGGCAAAATTACATTTCAATTTCAAAACGACTTTAATTGCCTGTTTTCGCTAACTGAGGTGTGGCACAGCCAGGTGAGTTGGCTGTGGCAGCTCAAAAATAGCATGCCATGAGCGCCGCCGCTTATCGCTCAGCTGCAACTTAAGAGCCGTTTAATCCATCACACGACAACTGCAGCAGCCGTGGACCCTTTTTCCCTTTTTCCAGTTTGTGTGGCACGCGTATGTTACAAACCGTGCAAAGTGCTGCCATTGCGTGATAATAAGCCGTCATGCTGCTGTCCACCGTGTTAGGACAGGTTTTCATTGTGGTTACGCATACGCCGCGTTGCACTGGCCAGTGTAAGATATGCGTACGCCAGTTATCTGTTAATTTTAAATGCAACGCAACGAATTACCAGTCAGACGCGCTAACGCGAAATCCGGCAACAAAAAATGCAACGAGCTGGACAGGTGATTTAAAAACCATTTGTCAGCAGCAGCAGGTATCAGCAGAGTACATAGGAATGATGATTTTTTCTTCCATGACTGCCAAGAGTATGGGTGATTGGCCTGGGTCAGTGAAATTATTCAAATTATCTTGAGAAAGATTTAACTGTCAGGTGCTGCCGCCAGGCAATAAGAACAACAAGAATGGGCCAATATGACCAGACGGATGCACCAGCAGTTACCCCAAGGCAGCAATCAAACAGCTTTAGTGCCATTCTTTTATCGCGCAACCTTCTCCACAATCCTCCAAACATGAAGTTGCTAAGAATCAGCAACCGGTAGCTGACAGCCGACAGGCTGCTTCGTTGCTGCTTCTTCTCCCCCAAGTTGCGCTTCTGTCTGGTTTCACTTTTGTTGTTCTTGCTGTTGTTGACGACAATTGTAAATCCCATCTATTATAAGTGCTTCTTACCACTTGGCGTTGAGCATTGACATTTGGCTAATGGCAAAAATGTCACCGAAATGCAGACAAACAAGCAGCTGCCATGACAGCAGCCCAAGACATGGCCACGACATTAGAACAGCTCAGCGCTCGAAACTCTCCACTTTCCCAGATCATATCATAGACATTATCATTGTAGCATTTATTACTGAATATATAGAAGTAATTCGCCAGCAGCTTATGACTGATACCTAATATTACCGAATACTGTAAAGACGACTGTGATCCTTTTGCGCACAAATGAACAATTATCATCACAAAATAAATAGCTAAAAGTTCGAACGAAGCCACAAAAGGGTCTTTTCAGTATTGCGCTATCAATTTTAGTCTGTTAAATGTTTATTAAATATTTTTAAATGATTTCTAAATTTATATACGTACTATTTACTGAATACATAACATAGTTTAATCAAATTGCATAGCTCAGAAAGAAAACTCATTTTTTAAGACGATATACATAATTTATTAAGCAACGGGAAGTCTGTGAGTGTGGGCATCAAATCAAAGGCAATCATAAATCAAATACAATTTGATTCACTGATTACAGTCGGCTACAAAACTGTGTACACACACACACGCACACACAAAGTAATGGGCGTGAGTATTGTGTCTATGGCAGCTGCTTTAATGCACCTATTTAATCAACCCAAACCTCAAGGGATATTGATTAATAAAGACGCACAGCACGAGATGTCTAACTAAATTGCTTACTTAAATATGCGTTTAATGGTAATGGGCAGAGTCTCTCCAAGCAAATATGTGCTGGCAAAAACCTTAAAGCCTTATCGAAAAAAAACATTTGCAATGGCAACAATTTAAATTGCGTTCTATCTATCCAGTGTCTGCGCACTCAAAAGCAATTAACTCTCATATTTGGTATGAACATAAATATATACGGACCTTAATTGAAATGGACAGCAACTGCAAAAATGTGCTAAAAATATACAAAACCCTTTCATAGAACGCAAAGTGTTATGTCGTTTTCGGTATCAGTGTCAGTGTCCGGATCGAACATGTTATGACAACTGATGTCCATGTTGTTTTTGCAAATTTCACAAATTGTTTTATTATTATGCACCCAAAAGTAATTTCGAAGACTACAATGCAGTTGAGCCGACATTTAGTTTCATACGAAACAATAACTCATTAGCATAACATTTCCTTGCTATCATCTTCAAACGTCGAGTAACATATGCGCCAACATTTTGCTCTGTCAATCAGTGCAAATTCAGCGACAAGCAACAAAACTTTTGACAGTTGCAAATGTCACCATCGTATGATGGATGCGAGGAGTTTCCGCCCTTCTTCATTTAACAGCCCACACCAAATAAGCAAGAGCCAAATGTTCTTAAGAGTCTAGCAGAACTCTTCTTTTTGGTTTGATAATTTAAAAATTGTAGTCAGCTCAATTAGCGCTATCTGAGTTTACATTAAAGCAACCCTAAAGCAACTGTTGCACTTAAACTCCATAAGTAACTGCGAGTAACAGCGCTTTTGTCAAGTATGCTCGACTACAAAGTTCCTGCATTTCTTTATCATTAGAATATTTAGGCTTTTAGCAAAACGCATTGAATTCCTCAAATATTAAAGAATAGCCCTGAATGCTTATGCATCTGTTAAAGGAGAATATCGCGTTCATACAGACAAATAAATGACCATGGCCAACCCGAATCAGGTCGTCGTTCGGGTCAGGAATATATATATATTTTGGGGTCCTTTTCTGGATATAACATACACATGTGCAAAACCAAAACGGGTATATTTTTATTTATATAATATTTATTGGTTCAGGATAAAAAATATATAGCTGCTGGTTGATTAGCTAATTTCGCGAGCAATTTTGCTCTTCTATTTGAA